CAGCCCAGCGTCCCTCTCGGGGTGGGGAGCACTATGCCGTGAAGGCTGCCATGACCTAAGGCCCCAGAAAGGGAGGCCTGCGTCTGCCAAGCACAGGTTCCCCATCCCACTGTCTACCCCAAGCACCCCTTGTCTCCTGTCTCTCCCGCCCGTGCTCCCACTCTGCCCCTTCCCACACACAGCTCCCACGTAGCGGGAGACAGCGTGAAAGGAGGCACCCAGAGCTGAACCCAACAACATGCCCCTCAGAGTTCAGTGTGACCAGCACAGCCCCGTGGGCCTCTCAACTCTCAGCACCGCTTTCATTCCACAAAACTAGTAAGTTGGGGCCACGCTTCCCTAGAGAATCCCAGGCTGATTCGCCACAGCCTGCTCTGCGCCGCGGAGAGGGGCCCGATGCTGCAGCCTTCTGGCGAGGGGCCCCTCACCTGTCCAGGGCCCCGAGGGCCCCAGGGCCCTGCTGAAAGAAACCAGGGAGTTCCTAGGGAGCCGAGCCCTGACCCGGTGCCCTGGGCGAGGGCGTGGGCTCACCTCCACGATCACGCTGCGCCGGATGTGGTCCCTCCCGGCGGGGACCCTGTCGGCGTAGCTCTCCTCGGCCTGTTTGCTGGGCTTCCCGTCCCGGCAGCAGCTTGTTTCTCCGTAAGCCAGGACTTTGGCTGCAGAGATCTGAGTGCTCAGTGCTGCTCGCAGAGCAGGGAGCTGTCCTTCCCCCCTTGTAGCATACATGCACATGTATGTGTGTGGGCACGCACATGTGAAAGCTGCATGGTTTGTGTGTGTGCATGTGCGCATGTGTGTCTGTGCATACGTGCGTTTGTGTGCATGCATGTGTGTGTGCTACACTGGTTTGGCGCCTTAAGAACCCAGCTCTAGCAGGTAAGCCTCAAGCCCCACCCTCAGAGGCCGCCTCCCCAATGTCCTGACCATTCCCTCTGGCCTGCTTCCCCAGCTGCTGTCCTGCCCCTCAAGAGGGCCCTCCTCGCACCTGCTTCCCCCCTCCCCCCCGCACCTCGCCCATGCCTGTGGGCAGGGCCTGGGCCCCTGGGTGGCCTGGAGGGGGTGCCCAAAGAGCAGGGCCCTCACCTGTGATGTTGCTGAGCCCCAGGTCGCTGAAGGACAGGACCACCCAGATGGGCTCCGTCTCCCCAGAGGCCACGCACAGCTTCTTGGTCAGATGGCGTTTGCCGGGATGCCCGACAAACCGGGTGCCCTTGGGAACGGAGATCTGCACATACACCTGCGGGGGGTGGGCTCATGGTGCCCGGAGTCTGTGCGACCCCCAGCACACCCACCACCCACCACCACCGTCAGCCTGCCAGCCCTCCCCAAAAGCCGTGCCCTCCTTGGAAGCCCCCTTTCCAGTTCTAACCAGAACCAGTACTCACAGTGTCCTGCTGGGAGCCCCCTTCCCCCTCAGCTCCCCACATCCCCCAGGTCTAGTTCCCCCTCAGACCAAGACCAGTTCGAGGGCCACCTCTCCACAGCCACCGGGGCATCGAGTGACGAGCCGCCCCCCATGCAGGCCCCACAGAGCAGCCCTCTGAGACTCTCCAACCACCGAGGTCCACAGCATCCTAACAGCTCTGTGTGCGCATGCGTGTGCACCATGTGTCTCTATAACCCAAATCTAGGACAGGCTCTTTGCTCCACATCAGCTTGTCCGGCCAGCAGATAGGAAGTGCCTCGTGGGTGCAGGTGCCCTGCGAGGAGCTAAAGAAGCAGAACTGAGCGGACCACTGAGCCTGTGGGAGTGAGCGGGACCCGGCTGAACTCGCACACCCAGTTTATAGACAGGAAAACTGAGGCAGAATGGCTGGGAGTTTAGCCAAGCGAAAGCCCAGAGGGGCCTCTGAGGAAAGGGAGGCACAGGTGTGTTGAGACCACGCCCCAACCCCCAGCAGCCTCGGCGCCCTTCAGCTCACAAATTCCAACCCTCCCGCGACAGACGTCCCCATTTTTCAGGAAAAGCCAGCGATCTGTTTGGGAGGAGTAACGTCTCTTGGTTTCCACAGTGTCTCTGGTTTGGGGCCACAGCTCACATCTTCTGTTGTCGGTGTGAAATCAGCCAGAAGTCTTGGGGGACACTTGGAGAAGGCCAGCCGTGTCCCCAGCGCCCAGCTGGCCGGGGTGAGGCTGACACCGAGCTGGACCCCTGACTCTGTGCCCGCTTACCGCTCCGCCCCGGCCCCAGTTTACAGTCGCTGCCCCCGAGAGCTGCCTCTAACCACGGGGAGCCCTCCTCGCCTCCCTTCCTCTCACCCTCCAGCTGGCATCCAGGCTGAGACGGGGCTCAAAGATGACAAGGTCAGGGAGGATGGGTGCCCCTGGCCTCCTCAAGCTGCACCAAATCAGAGCCCCCCCAAAACCCCTTCCGCACTGTGCCCCTACAGATCGTGGCCCTCCAGGGTCCCTCCACCTCCCCTGCTGTCCTTCCCTGCCACCAGGTTCTGAAATCCCCCAGCCTCCAAGGTCAGCCTCCTCCAGGGGAGCTGCTATAGGTTGAACTGTGTCCCCCAAAAAGATATGTTGATGCTCTAACCCCCACTACCTGTAAACGTGACCTTAGTTGGAAATAGGGTCATCAGATTACAATGAGACCCTAATCCAACATGACTGGGGGCCTTCCTTATAGCATTTGGACACAGACATTCACAGCGGGAAGGTGGCCAGGGGCAGAGATGGGAGCGACGCAGCCACAAGCAAGAGGAACACAAGGGTTGCGGCAGCCACCAGAGGCCAGGAGAGCCAGGCGACACTGTCCCTCAGAGCCTCTAGCACAGCGGTTCTCAACCTTCTGGCCCTTTAAATACAGTTCCTCATGTGGTGACCCAACCATAAAATTATTTTCGTTGCTTCTTCATAACTGTAATGTTGCTACTGTTATGAATCGTCATGTAAATATCTGATATGCAGGATGGTCTTTGGCGACTCCTGTGAAAGGGTCCTTCGACCGCCAAAGGGGTCGGGACCCACAGGTTGAGAACCGCTGCTCTAGAACGAGCCACCTTGACCTTGGACTCTGGCCTCCGGAACTGTGAGAGGATAAAGTTCTATCGGCTTAAGCCACCCGGTTTGTGCTACTTTGTCACGGCTGCTAAAGAAACTGATACAGAAGCCTTTTCCATTTCCTCCGAGAGGGAGCTGTGGCCCCCACTGCACGCCCCCCCCCACGGGTGTATGCATTTCAGTCCAGAAATAAAGGTTGATGCTGCAGCTGCGCCTGCTCATGTGCATACCGTCCACGATGGCTTTCCTGCTACCACAACCGCGACAGAGACCACTATGTACGCTCAGGCCCTTTACAGAGGACCATGCAGGCCCGGAGTCAGGCCAGGTGGCTCCGTGGCATGTGCACCCCCCGCCCCCTCCGCCAGGCACACATCCCCACCCGGCCCCGCCCCAGCTCCCATGGCTGGTGAATCAGAGGCCGATCCCATCCTGCCTCTGCCTCCTCGATAACACAGATGCTGTCCCCACAGTCCCCACCCTGTGTCCCCAATATCCCAGATGCTATTCCCACGGCCCCAGGATGGCCCCGCTTCCCATACCTCCCCAATATCCCAGATGCTATTCCCAGGGCCCCAGGATGGCCCCGCTTCCCATACCTCCCCAATATCCCAGATGCTATTACCACAGTCCCAGGATGGCCCCGCTTCCCATACCTCCCCGATATCCCAGATGCTCACCCCACGGCCTCCCCAGGATGACCCCATCTCTCCCCTGCTTCCCTGATAGCAAAGATGCTGTGCCCCCTCAACATCCCCCCCTGGACGAACCCACCCGCCCGCTTCCTGATATCATGGGTGCTGCCCCCGCAACAGGAAGTGCTGTGGGGGGGCGGGCTCAGTACCTCAGCGCAGGTGCCCATGTAGTTGTAGATGCTGAGCGGGATCTTGACCTGCTCCCCGCGGACCACCTGGGGGGGCAGCGTGAAGTCCACAAAGAAGGGCTTGAAGGTCTTCAGCAAGGAGGGCGTGGCGATGCCCAGGCCCCACGCCGAGGACAGACCCACAGCCTCGCCCACCCAGCTGGTGATGGAGTCCGGGACCTGCACACGGAACGTCTCCTCGCCAGACGGGTCGCTGCGGAAAGACGGGCAACCTGTGGGCCCTTCTCCGGGGCCAGGCTGCAGCGGCGAGGCGGGGACAGATGACTCGAGCCACACGGCCCAAGCCCAGGGAGGTACCCCCTGCAGCTGGGGGAGAATCATTTAAGACACCATGAGCGTGTGACAGCAGAGGGCCGCCCTCTGCCCCGACTCGCTGTGATCAGAAATGTGAATGGCTCTCAGGACGAGAGCCCATAGGGACACAGGCCCCCAAATTACGGGTTCAGAGATACAAACTTTAGCAGTTCATGCTCCGCCCAGTTTAGGGGGGAAGAGGGGACCAGTCATTTAGGGCATGCTTGTGAGTCCCAGTAAGGTGTGTCCACGTCCTGACCCCTGTACCTGTGAATGTGGCCTTATTCGGAAACAGGTCTTTGCAGCTGTTAACATGAGGTCATGCTGGAGTAGGTGGTCCCTAACCCAATAGCAGGCGTCCTTATAAGAAGGAAATTCTGATACAGAGGGGAAAGGCCAGGGGGAGACAGGCAGACACTGGGGTGATGTGGCCACGAGCCAAGGACACCTAGAGCCCCCAGAAGCGGGAAGAGACAGTGAAGGATCCTCCCCCAGAACCCCCGGAGGGAGCTCAGCCCTGCCAAAGCCTTATTCTCGGACTTCTGGCCTCCAGACCTGAGATAATAAGTTTCTGTTGTTTTAAGCCCCCGGCTTGTGATCATGTGTTACCGCAGACCCAGGAAACTGATACAGTAACCCCCCCCAAAAGAAAGAAAGAACATAAAAAGCCTTACCAACAATTTTAAAATTGATCACATGACACAACAATATTTGGGGCATATGTAAAATACGTAATTCAAACGAACTCCACCTGTTTCTGTTTACCCCTCTGACATGGCACTAGGAGGTTTGAAATTACATATCGGACAGCACTGCTCACACCCAGGCCAGATCCTCCCTGCCCCCGCCAGGGGCACGCTGATCGCTCTAGGATGGCTCTGGGGACAAACCCTATTGTCTCCTTTGCGGTTCCAGGATGTCCTTTGGCGATTTGCCTTGGCATCTGGTGCAAAAGAGCTCGTTGGAAAATAAAACCTTTAACCCGAGGAGAAGCCTGAGAACGGAAGCCGGAACCGCACCTGGGCTGGCAAGGAGCCAGGCTGCTGCTCCTCACCTGCCCGTCCACCTCTGTCCACTTCCGGAGCCTGACCCAGGTGGGCCTCGCGGGGCAGCCAGACACCCCAGGCTGCAGCTTGCAGAGACCACACTGCCCGTCAGGCCCCCCAGTGCCTGCGAACCTATTGTCCCTTCTGTGAGGGTCACAGGCTCAAGCCCAGCCTCTTCCCAGCTGGCAGAACTTTCATGGCTTAACATGGTCACAGCCAACAGAGCGGGAGGGAGCACCTCAAATCTCAAGTCTCAAATCCCTGGTTGCAACCCTATGTGGCTCTCCATTCCCCCCCACAGCCCATGCTGCCTTCACCCCCACACCGCCCTCAGGCCCTCCCAGTTCACTCCAACCTGTGGAACCCCCCCCCCCCCACAGCTCTTGTCCGTGCTGGTCCTGCCACCTGGAGACCTTCCCTTTCTTGTTTGTCCGTCTTGTGGGACTCAGCTCGGGCTCCACCTGCTCTGGGCGCCTCTCCAGCTTCTCCAAAGGGCTCCTCTTCCGCCTCTGGAGCCCCGTGCCCAGCCCGTCATGAGAACGTGAAGCTTCAGTAGGATTGGTGCCAGGACTGGTACCACATCACCCCTTGTCTTGGTACCATTCCCGGCACCAAAAACATCACCTAGCACCCAGAAAGCAGATACATAACTGAGTGATGATGGCCAGACAGCGCATCTTAAGTCTGGGGTCCCAGAGCAAAATGCAATCATCTGATCTATTCTGACCAGGAGTTAAGCCTTCCCACAATGGGCACACACACATCAGTGGAAGCAGCCCGGGGAACCCCGGCGGCGAGCTCAGTTCTGCACGGAGCACATGCCATGTGCCTGGTGCCACCTCGTGCCTAGAAGGGGGACCTGGCTCAGGAGGCGGCCCACCGATGGCCCGGGGTCTGAACTTTCAGGCCACACTGGCTTCTCAGGGCAGCCACCACTACCTTCTGCTAGTGCCATCGGGGTCTCATACTGAGCATTGCAAGAAAAAAGCCGATGGCATCCGGCAGGAATTTGCCAGGGCACTGCTGCTTCAAGAACTAAAAGGAGGAAAAGGCGGGAAGGAAATGTGCTGAGAAAAGCAGCCTGTTTTTTGGGCAGGAGTCCGAGTCCCCTGAGGAGTGAGGCAGAGGTAGGTGGGGTCGAGTTCATGTTCCAGGGAACTGTAATCGTTTTAATGGGCTCGTTATGCAAACAGGGCGGATAGAGTTACCCCAAGAGGGAGCGGTGAGAGGCACAGAGCCCTTACATTTTAAATGTCATGGGCAGATGTCAGAGGCTGCAGCAGGATTCGGAGCTGACTTCATGGCTTTGGGTTTTACGTGTTAGAAAAAGATGCCCCAGGTCTCACTCAGATGTGGGTGTAGAGCTGCAGGCGAACCCCCTGGGAACCCCCTGGACTTATGTGAATGCCTCGGCGCGGCCCACAGAGACGGCGGAGGGAGGGAGTCTTCCTGTACCTGATGTTCAGACAGCGCCAAACCCAGGTTTCCGGGAAGAAGGTCCTTCTCCTCTTCTCTGCTCTATGGGGGGGAAAAGAAGTGATTAAAGTTCCATGGTCGTAACTTCATCCTGTTACCTGGCAGGTTAGCATTCTACTCCATTAGGACGTAACAGGTTAATTCGCTTATCAGTTAACATTCTACTCCATTAGGACGTAACAAGTTAATTCTCTGACTCGGCAGGGCTAACGTTCTACTTGATTAGGGCTAGAAGTGAGGCACCAAAGGCGTGGCAGAGTCACCTTAAAATGAGAGCGCTTCAATTCTGCATTTAGAAGGTAAGCAGGGCCGCAGGGACGACCCCAGACCCTCCTCTGGGGCTTGCCCTGTTTTTCTGCAGCATCACATGGAGCTCCTCCCCACCCCAACCACTCCCACTTCCTCAGAGTGCCTTTCCTCGTCGGTCATCCTCAGAAGCCTCACAGTCCACCTTCCCTGGGGGCTGAACCTTCACTTAAAAATAACGAGAAGCCCAACTCGAAATTTAGCAGAACGGCTCAGAATTAAAAAGTGGTCACATTCTTTCAACCTGCAATACCTCTCCTGGGAACGCACCCCGGAAATACCCACAAACACCTGTGCCAGACAGACAGATGGAGCAGTTCCTGGCAGCCCTGTGAGAATTAGCAAACAGCTGGACTCTCCATCAGCAGGGGGCTGGTTAATCACATGACACCACACCCATACAGCAGAACATTATATGTCCGTGAAAAAGAGGGAGATAAGCATATACCGTATGGACTGATAGGGACTGTCTCCAAGACTTGTTGTTGACTTAAAGAAGGGAGATACCGACAGTATTATAGTCTTCTCCCATTTATGTGTTTTTTTTAAATCCTTATATATGCACCCAAAAATTCTAGAAGGGTACCTAAGAAATTATCGGCCATGGTTGTCTCCAAGAAGGGAATAAGAGACTCTGGAGATGGGAGACTTCTGCTTCAGTGTATAACCTTTCATACTGTTTGAAAA